TTATCGCATATTGCTTACAGAATATGTCGACCATGTGGCACACTGATTATAGCAGAGTGAGGTATATATATATATATATATATATATATATATATATATATATATATATATATATTAACTTTAATTTATTTTTTATGTATATTTGATATGTTGAAACTAACTAGTGATTTTTTTAACTTTGTTTGTTACATGAGCTTCTCATGCTGAAGGTGACATCCAACTGGCCAAAGATGAAGAGCTTTTTAGATGTTTTGATGCCTGAGCAGGTCAAGTGGATTGTTGATGATTTTAGTCTCTTATCATTGGTCGAATTCTCACTCACCATGCTTGGCGCTTCACTCTTGTTTGCCTTTGTTGAGCGATGGCACAAGGATACATCTTCCTTTCATATTTCATTTAGGAAGATGACTGTTACCTTGGATTATGTCTTCATCGCTCATGTTATTAACCATAAGCTTGCATATATCACAGCTACACGATATTTGGGAGTTACTAAGGAGTTTTCGCTAAAGGAGTTTGTGCATAATAGGGGAGCTCACTTTCATATGTCTTGGCTTCGGAACATGTATATCGAGCTTGTGGAGTGGTAGACGTATGAGCCAGCCAAAAGGGCATACATGCTACATCTAGTAGCATGTACTATCTTTGCGGATAAGTATCATGTTTATATTGATGATAAGTACTTGTGGTTGCTCCTTGAGAATACCAGATGGCCTTAGGGTGTGGTGCATTGATTGTCCTATATGCAACCCTTGGAATTGTAACTACTATAAAAACAAGATTTAGTTTTGCATTTGGCATTGAGTTTTGATGATAACAATACATTATTTTTAGAGAACAATTTTGCACCCTAATGGTTTTGTCTAGTGTGTAGATTTTGCAAATAGTTCTGACTCTGAAGAAGTATTGTGTGACGTCATCATTTTTTGAACTCAACAGACTTTGACTATGAAGTGATACAAAGTTCTCTTCACAAAGATTTAGTCAAGTTCTAGAACGCTCATACACAACAGTTCTAAAGAATGTTTGTTTAAATGCCTTTGACTATGACTCTGATTGAATAGCTTTTGAATATTGTTAAGCTCTGAAGATTGTGCGCTCTCAAGTTATGAGGTTCTAAAGACCAAGTTCCGAAGACTCTGAAGACAAGGTTTTGAAGACTCTAAGGATAAGTTTTTTAAGACTCTCATTCTACTTTTGATCCTTCTAAGCATGCTTCATTAACACACATTTTGAAGCCTTTAAAGATTAGAAGATAAGATCATAGAGGTTTTACTTGAGTGCATAGTATATGGTACAAGATCAAATATTCCTTCCAATACAGTGATTTTGTGGCGCAAGGACAGTACTATGGTACCATTTTTTCTACCACTTTCACTGACCGTTATGCAAGTTTACAGTTGGAATTTTGAGATTCTTATTCTACCCTCCAACGGATCTATCTATACCTATACAAAGAAGACTTGGAAGATTGGAAGAAGAAATTTTTCACGCGAACTTTTGCTAAGAGAGATTGAACGTAAATATTTCATTTTTGTGAGAAAAACTATAAAGAAATGAACTTTTGTTCGTATACTTGCTCAAAACACTTTTGTGTTAATCATTGTATTTCATTTTTGTTATCTACTTTCATATAAGCATCTTTTTAAACACACATTTTCTATCTCAACTTTTTAGTTGATTATTCCTCGAGAGACTAGGGTATAGTCAAAAGTCTCAAGAAGACATTGACAGTAGGTCTTTATGGTTGTAATAAAGTTTGGTTATAGTGGATTAAGTTATTGTGAGAAGGAGAAATCACCTTGGTGGGTAGACTGGAAATAGCTTCATTAACAGAGATCCAGGATAAAAATAGTGTGTTCATTATTTTTATTCTAAGTTCTTTATTCTTTGTTTTGGGCCACTAAAGAGTTTCATTCTAGAAACTCAATTCAAACCCTCCATTTCTTGTGTTTCCTTAACCTTCAACTGCCTTTGAGACCAGACAACTTGTTGGCTATTTGATTTTATTCCATATATATTAAAAATTATTATTTGTAATTTAGTTATTATTTAATTATTATGTATGACATTTCTTGATTTTTCTATGTTCTTTTATCAGTGTTGTATATACGAGCATTTCCCCACCACTTATGACAGGAGGGTTCCGCATACCCTTGTTGGCTCCCCAAGGGATAGGAGATGGAAAGCCAAGAAAGCACATCTAGGTTGTGTTCCATAGTACATAAGGATGCTTGATGCACTAAAAATAAAGGATGACATTAGGACACCTTACACAGATCATAGAGTCCAACGTGAGTTTGATGAGTCTTCTCTATTTTCTGGTTATATTTGGTGGGAGACTTTAGTGGCTAGACACTTACCTTAGATGTATCTACGCTAGTATGGGTATGTCTAGAGCATCTCATGACCAATTCCTATTGTTCCAGCTTCGGGCATTGACAAGTGGTTTTGTAGTAACATCATCATCTTTGTCTGTGCCATTAGATAGCACAATAAGGGTTCAGTACGATGCATCATGTGAGGATGGTTACTTTGAGTGGTACCTTACTATATCACTCTCTCATATCATCCCGCATGTTAAGCATATGGATGATGATGTTGTGCCTTTCAATGTTAGGGGACCTACCAATGACGTGTCATCGCCTCCACCTGGTATTGATGACCAACGGCATCTGAAAATGATCAGTGTTATTATGGATAATCTCATGGGTTTGGTAAACCTATATGGTGATATTTTTACTATATTATCGTAGGCAGCATACATATCCCGTGTGAGGCCTATTTAGAAATTTGATGTTATATTTGTATTATTTGTATATTTTGTGACTCATACTATTTAGCACCATACTTTTTATTACATGATATTTTGTCGATTACATGTTGGGAAAATGAACATAACTTAACACATTACAACTAACAAAAATTAAAAATAATAAATAAAAAAACCTAGAAACTACCAGATTATTCTGGACGTTTCAATATCTTGATTATGTCATGTATAAATCTTGAAATTGTTGCATCAAACTCGACTGGTCCCTTAGTTAGCCTACGGTGAAATTTTACCTTTCCATCAGTATCAATCTAGTCTGCATGAAACTCGATCTTACCCATCTTTCTATTCTCATTATCGTGAAACAAATCATTCAACTTGGATCTCAAGAGGGCAAGACATGTGGTGTCCTTCGGAAGCTGGAACTCTACAAGAGGTTTCACCCCGTCGAAGTACACTTTTTTCTTAAACAAAAATTGAGGCATTGTAAGATGTTTTGCTTAACAACACATGATCCTTATTTATGCAGCTTTGAATTCATTCTAGAATATACAAAATGGTCTTGCAATCACATTCGGTACAATCTAACAATTGGAAATTTGAACTCCCCAAAATTTCATTTTTTTTTTAATTTCTGGTATGACACACTCTTTTTTCAAAATATTGGTATTAGTTCAAAGACACCCAATTTTTTATAAATGGTATGATTTAATACCAGCAATTTTAAAATGCACTACCAGAAATTTGGTTTATTATCGAAAATTTATAATGAAGTACCGAAAATTTTGTTAGCACATTTTGGCTCAAATTTGTCCATGGGCAGTTTAGGAATTACTAAAATATGTGGGGGGTCAGGTTTAATCTTGGGGGTGGCAGGTTAAATTATCTTCAAAGTGACACCAAAAATTATATCACATTCATTTGTAAGTGAGTCATTGATCAGTGGTTTTTACTCAGATATTTAGAAGTTATTTCAATTATTGTTTCTTTTACTTATCGAGGTTTTATTTTGTTTTATCGCATATTATACTTTGGTTTTGTGCTTTAGTGTTTTCAGGTTCAGAAGAATAAAACAGGACAAATCGGGGCGGAAAAAGTGCATAATTAAAGTTTTGGAGGAAATGCTACAGAAGCCCTGGCACGGGTGGCCGTGTCACCTGACACGGATCGTGTCAGGGGGAAGACTTGGAATGCGTGGAAAACAGGGGCTGACACTGGTGGTCGTATCAGCATGCCTGGAGCAAAAAAATTCCTGATGGCCAACACGAGCGGTCGTGTCGCCTGACACGGACCGTGTCGACCACTGACGCGGATTTTAAGTGTTTTTATGATTTTTCACTATTTGAGACCCAAAGGGGCATTTTGGGAATTTCCGACCGTGTCGGCCACATCGACATAATAATCACTTTTGTCCATAAATATGGACTTGCCAACCAAATACATGAGGTATAACCTCAATTCACATGCTCTATGATACAGAACCAATGTATCATCACCATCGGCCCCCACTGTCCCATCCAGGTGGTTTTAGTACATGTCCTTTAGAAATGCCAATATAGCATGACACACTATAGTGTCATCCATCTCCTTTTGTGCATCACCTAGGTCAGCTCCCAAATAGATCATCATCATGTCCAATATATCAGGTATGGTGACTTTGAAGTGGTCTTATAATCTTCCCTTAATCAAAATATATAGCAGGGATGACATATCATCCAATGTGATGGACAACCATGTGAAAGATGAAAATATGATCTCTATGTGTGTTATCTCTCTACAAAATCTTAAAGCATACCATGGTTAATTATAGTATAACCAGTCATGCATGAATCTTGTAGGCCAGATAGTTGCATGACATCACAAAATCATTGTTCATCCGGTTGTTGCAGCTTCGTGATCTTCCTATCGCAGTTGATGCATTTGAAAGCATCACACTAATGTAAAAAAAATACATCATCGGTTAAAAAATTCAAATATTATAGCACATAGATTTCAAAGAATAAATACATATTTAATTTACCTTTTCATCCCACATGTTCCTATCAGCATGGAGAGGAAGTAGTGAATTATCATAAGAGTCTCCTCCAAAAACCTCAGGAATGGCATCATGAACAGAAGCATCACTAGCAAGTGCATCAACATGGACTCTGGAAAGACGAAGTCAGTGTTTGCAAGGGTCTAGCTTTCTCTTTGCAAGCAGATGCATGTAGGGACACTTTATCGTGCCTCAATAAATCTTGGTTGTCATCCATTTTACCTAAAAACAAACCAGGTGAAAGACATGCAAAATCAAACAATGCAGACAAAGCGGGCATAATCAAACTCAAATGGCAATAATGTAAAATCAAACAATGCAGACAAAGCATCAAAATCAAACAATGCAGGGAAAATACAAAAGTGCATTTCCGTAATTCAGGAAAATCAAATTGACCCAAATACGAAAGTGCGCTTTCGTATTTTCTTGAAACGCAAAAATGGAAGAAAACACAAAAACGCCTCATGCCTTATACTTTAAATGTTCATTTATACCTCAATAAACTATGTATCATGAGTCTAACTACAACCTAGTGTGCCTTAAATAACATATTTATTGATGCAAGCATCATAAATAAAATAAAAAAGAAATGAAAAAACTTAAAAAATGTGAAAAATGAAAGCTCTTGGATTTAATGGGCTTTAGTAGTATTGATAAATCTCTTTGATTAGACACAATGCTATAGAAAGTTTGAGAAATGTTGAAAATGGAGGATTTGGGATTTCTCACACACACCTCTTTTTTAGGAAGAAGAGGGTCTTGTGCATTAGTATGACTCAACACTTGGAGATATACTTTCGTATTTTTTATGAAGATGCATCTATGTATTAATTTATGGAAAAATAAAGGTGACTCATTTATGATATGAATGTAGTGGGTTCGAAAATACATCTTTATATTTAAGGGACATTTTGGATTTCTCACTTGAGAATGTGAGCACTACTAAGTATGTCATAAGCAATCCCCCAAATTAATTTGGTGCTTGTACTAGAATAATTTTTTATGGACCTTAGAGAAAAGCATTATATGGTCCAACTGATCCAAAAAAGTTATGAAAGTGTCATTAGAGGAAGCAGGTGGACGTGATTATTGGATTGCCCAACCGGAGTTTAGGTCGTCTAAAACTTGGATCATTCGACTTGAACACATGTTCATTGCTAGTCCATCTTTCCAATATATAACAATATAAGGTGTCATTTCAAAGTGTCTTTGAAAAGAACGGTCTAGTCAAATTTACAAAGGAAAAAACCGTTCTTCCAATCTATGAGAAAGAATTGTCCCCCTTATGATTAAAAAATAATAATTATATATAAATAAAACATGCTACATAAGTTACATAAATAAATATTTAAAAATTAACTAGCATTAAATTGAAAATCTCAAGTTTAAACAACTAAAAAGAGTTGAAAAATGCATTACTTCTCACTTTTCACTTGGTGAAAGATCTGCTTTTTGTGAAGGGTGAGTAACCAAGAAGAAAACAGAGGAATAGATAAGAAAGAAAGAAAAAAGAAAAAAAGAGTTACACAAGAAAGGACTTGGACGAAGAACCATGAAAGTTTGAAGAAATGAAGGAAAGGCAACAAAGTGAAGGAGAAGAATAGACGAATGCAGAGTGAACGAGCTGAATGAACATGATGCGCTAAGTGAAAGTGATAGAGGCACATGAATTATGAAAGTCATTCTATAACTAACCAATACAAAAGTCATTCTACAACTAAAATTGCACTATTTGCGAGTTCGCCAGAACAAGAATGTTGTTTGTGCCATGTGCATAGTTAACTAAGATGAGGCTTCTGATGAAATTCAAGATCAAGCAATTAAGGTCCAAAGTATAAATAGCTTTAAGTAAACTACATAGAACATTTCAAGTTTCTAGCCACTGCATCTGTCTACAGACATTTTCAGTAGTAGTGATAAAGTTAACCGAACTCATTGCAACACATCTAATTCAATACAGAACAATTTAGATTATAGATTAAAGTTTTCGATCAAACACCAAACACTGCAACTGTTTTATTTTCCAAATACTTAGAAACTTTTAGCGTAGAAATAGAAAGCTAGACATGACAATGTTGTTAAGCAGGAAGACCAGCTTCTTCCAGCAGCTGTTTCACCTTAGTGATGTAATCACTCATTGCTTCATCCTTGGATTTTCCTGCAAAATAAATAAATATAATTTTGATGTCTATTAGAAAAACACAAAAACTATGATGCATTGAAACTTCAGATTGAAGATGTGTAAGTGACGTGTTTGTTTCGGTATTTCATAGCACAAAAGCATCCCATTTTAACTTTTTTTTTTTACCTTCAACTGCCTTCCATGCATCCCATTTGGCTCTGTCCTTCTGGCTGAAAATTCCAGGACGAGCTGTAAATCATACACAATATCATGAGCAATCATAATTCATAAGCCTTATACCTAGGACCTTTTTGTATTAGCTTATTCGAGACTATCTACTTACATACACATTAGTGAAACTGTTTAGAAGATCTTATAGAAATAGATTATAGCTTACGACATGTCTATAAGGGCTTGTTCGGCCTTATGCTTGGGCCGGCCCTCGAAAACATCAATTCGAAAATGATTTCTTAAATACAAGAAGACTCACCGGTGGTAACAGGTCCAACAGTGGCTTGCTTGTACAATCCATAAAGGATAAGCAAGTTTTCATTTGATGGACTCTCTTTTAGAGTCTTGACTTTGGCAGCATGCTCCTCAAAATCCTCCTGCATCACATTAACCAAGTATGTAATCCTTGAAGTAATCATTTACTTGTACTTAAAAGCACAATTTTGATACAAATTATATTTATATGAGAATGAAAACATTACATGTTCAGTTGAGATCAGATTTAACACTCCTACATAAAATTCAGCATGCAGTTTGAATCACATCATTTGAATTACAGGGTTTTTTCATAATATCATTGAACAAATCAAAAGAACAACAAACACCGACACAGCCACGAATAAATCATAGGATATACAACTAAACATCAACAGAACACCCATCAATCAAAACAAAGAAAAGACCGTTTTTCTTTTACAATTTCGGTCGATAACACAATACAGCGGTGTGAAATTATCACAATTTATTCTTCAATATAAAAAACGATAATAACCGCATCGGTATCTCTCAGTATTTGCGGTAGGATACCATTTTTTAAAACCTTGGTACCAGTAACAAACAGTGTCACGGATCTAAAAAATCGCAAAAAAAACAGAGATTGAAATAGAAACATTAGAAAGAAGGGATTAAGGAGAGATACCTGCAAACCCATGATGTGAGATTGAAAGAGAGTGAAGTGAGAGATATGAAGTATGGTGAGCGTTACTTTCGAAGCTCGGAGTTATAAAAGCATTGGAAATTTATGGGCCGTGGGATTGGAACAATTTCTCCATTCACCTGTGCGTCTAATTAACGCCAGCATGGCAGCATATTCTTTCCTATCACCGTTTTTAAATACATACTATTATCTTTTCTATTTTTATTTATTTCAAATTATTTATTTATTTAGAATATTAATATAATTTTTTTTTATTAATTCATTTTTATTTATTATATATGAAACAGAAGAAGAAGGAGTAAATGATATTTTCACTCATAGATTTAAATGCTTCTTTCGTTCTATAACGAGTAACACATTTAAAATAAAATATTATTTTAAAATAAATAATTTATTTTAATTTTTAATATATTTCTTTAATTTTATTTTTTAATTAATTAAACTTTTATCATTTTGAATATATAATTAAAGATATTATAATAAAAATATTATTTTCTCTCTTATTTTTTTATATTTTTTTATAATAAACATTCATCATTTTTTATATATTTTTTTATGTATTATTTTTTATATTTATTATAATATAGATAAAATATTAACAAGGTATTAAATGTAATTTTTAAACACAGTACTATATTATTAGAATTTATATGAATATATAAAATTAAAAAATAGAATAGAGATAGAGATATTAATATACCCTTTTTAAATAATGTCATACATTTTTAACCCCTACCCCCTAAAATGTGTCATATTATCTAAAGTGGCCTTTGTTTCGGTTCATAAAGGATAGAATAGATTGGTGGGTAAGCAATAAATAACATTAAATTTAAATTGTCATTTGCAATACAACTATTATTATTTGTTTTACATAAATAAATAGTATTTATTTTTTCAAAGGGTCATGTTAATATGTATTTTAAAGATATATATTAAAGATATTATAATTTAAAAAAATTAAATATAATAAAATCATATTTAAAATTTTAAAATATTAAATACACACATTTTAAAAAAATATTTCTAAAAATGATTTATTAATTTATGTCTTTAGAATATATGTTAATTTTTTTTTCTTTTTAAAATAGGGTTCACTTTTAATATAATCACTAAATCATTTATTTATAGTTATTGTTAATTTGTGCCTCAAAGACATATTTTAAAAAATCTATAAATAGAAGTTTGTGTTGGATATAGAAATTATGTTTGAAAATTTGTATTTAAATATTTATAAATTTATTTATTTACTTTTACTCTACAAACATTTTCTTAACGGGTACAGGTTAACATTATCCTTTGTTTATTTATTATATGAATATATTTATCTTCTTTATTTAGAGATTCATCGTCTTATTTATATAAATGAAGAATATACAAAAAGAAGATAATGAGATCAAAGTATTATAATAATTTTATTGGTTAATCAGAACCTATAAATTGATCGAAGAATGACATATAGTTTACTGAAAAGTTGAGGAGAAAAGGGGGTTGTACCTGCAAGGCACTCCGACGATCAAGTAAAAATGGGTGCAAAGAGATACAAGTAGAATATTAGGGTTTAAGGTTTGGATATTGGATACATGGCTCTTACATGTGTGAAGGTTTATATAGACCCTCCACTGTATAGTCATTGGTCCCTATTTTTGGGCCTAGATATGTGGGTCCGTAAAAATATATAACTGTCAAGACTTGGTCAAAACGGGAAGATGTGCCCTTAACTATCTGTTGCTCCGAGAAGGAGGCAGATTACGGGTAAAAAGGCATTATGTACGTTTCCTAATTCTTAGCTCGACTCGTATCGGGAAGACAGAGAGATAGCTGTTGACTTGGACATGTGTGTTTATCGGGCATCGTTGGTCGCGCTTCTTGGGGCGCGGTCGACCAGAGATGCAGGACCGGCGTTATTGAGTTGTGACAAGGGTAGAAGCAGATTGGGTCAATTCTAGTCATTGAGTTAGTCCAGAACATGAGCCCCTTAAGTCATTGCTTATGGGCAGAGGAGTGATGACTTTAAGATGAGCTCGCGAAATAGGGGTGCTCCCGGGCCGATTTCGCACGAGGAGTACGGGTGATGCTCGGCGTGTTCGCCTCGCGGGGATAGGAACAATTGAACGGCTCTGAGGAATTATCATGTTTTTAGGTGCAATTTCGTGCGAGGAATCTGAAAATTGTTCGAGGTGTTCGTCTCACAGGGAGAGGAATAACTGGCCACGCTTGCATCGAGCCACTGGCTGTCATAAAGGTGTAATGATGGCAATTCTAGGGACTAGGGTGTAATGATAATGGCCTTTAGGTTTCCCTAGACGCGTGCCCACCCACGCGCTAGGGAAATCAGTCTATAAAAGGGAGATAGGCATGTTCATTTACACTTTTCGCTTGCTTTTGCTTTGCCTGACTGGCTCGTTTCTGCTCGATGTTGCTTTCCAACGATGCTTTTAATTGTTCCACCGCTCGCCGACGTATATACTCATTTTCTACCACCGTCATACCTTCTAATCTAGTAAGTTTTTTAATTTCTTCTGCCTTTTCTGCATTTCAACCTTGTTCTAGGTTAGATTCTCTGTTTATTCTAGAAATACATGTGATTAGGGATAGAATAGTGAGAAAACTTAGGGGGAGTGATGGTGTTTAGACAATGGTTCAGTCGTGCGAGGGCTTCGCCATTGTCGCGGACCTTTCCAGGAGGTCCTGAGCCGCGACGGGTGTTGATGATTTCTCTGGAGAAGTTTAGGTTGTTTCTGGGTTTCTGTCATGATCTTCGTACATTCTTGATGAACTTCCTGGGTGATTTTAGACTTAGTAGTTTAGGTGACGTTGCCCATAAGATTTTTTGGTTTCGACCCATTTTTTAGGCTCCTAACACGTTCGAGAGAGACCTTCATCGAGCCTATTTGTTGTTGTTGAGTTGGGGCTTTGGTCGGGGGAAGGGTCCTCATTTCTTCACGCCCTTTCACTTGATTAACGGTGGAAGGGTGGATTTGACTATGTGTTGTACCCCAACTTTGCCCTACCTCGGTGATTTTATTTTTTAAGATTAAAACAGGAAAAATGTTTAATTAAAGATAGTACAACAGTATTTGATGGCCCATCTTTATTCATGATAACTAGGGGGTGTATTTTAGTTCAGAGAAGTCGGGATTTCTAAATCAAAAAGACCCATGTATCCATAGGCCCATTTACAAAGCATGTTGGTCAATGGTCCATGCGATTCGAAAATGGAAAAGTTATTTCAGAAAATTATTAAATTTAAATTCTTAAAGCACATTTACATTTAAGTTGTTGGTAGTAAAAAGAGATGGTGAAATTGCAAGTTAAAGCCCATTAGAATATGTATTAGCCTTTTTTTTTCGTTTTAGTAACAGGCCCTATAAGGTTTTTGGCAGTCAACCCATTATTTTTATTATTAGTTGTCCTTTTTAAAAGAAAAAACATTATTATTAAAACCTTTTTATTATTATAAAAATTTATTTTAAATTGTAGTACTTTCACTTTTACTGATAAAAGGTTTTATGAAGATGGCTTATTATGAAAAAAAGATTTTATTAAACCTTTTTAAAAAGTTTTTGTTTTAAAAAAAAAGTTTGTGTTGGGTCAAGGCCATTTGAGACCCAATTCATATAGAGAAAATGGGCGGATAAAAATTGTTTTGGACAGAAAGATTTTTGTTTACAATAAAAGCCCAATTCAGGTGATTAACGCAAGGCCCATGTTCATTAAATTGTTACTGTACCAACTTGCCAAGAATTACGCACGTTTTTTGCAGCAACAGATAATGTACAGATTGAAACACTAAATCAAATCCCAAATTATAATTTGAAACATAAATGTACAGCAACAGTCCAAGCCCAGAACGTGTGTTATAATCTAAGTCTAAAAACGGTACAGAATCAGATTTTGAGTCTATGTTCAATAGATATTACAAAAAAAATCAATCTCAATCTTTTAAAACAAAGCAGAATCTGAAAACTACAACAATAGTATCAAATTAAATCCATAATCATTAACATACAATCAAATCAATTACAAATCCTGAATTTGTGCTAACATAATTCTAATTCGTAAAACCCTAGAATTAAAAATCCTATGTATACTAACCATCAAATACAGAGAAGAGGGGGGTCGATTACTGTGAGAGAAATCTGGGAAGAACATAAGCCAAAGACGAATACCGAAGAGGAAGAAAGGATTGAAACCGCGAGGAAGGAGAAAAGTTGAAGAAGAACGGAGCACCGATTGGGGTTTCGATCTCTGAAACCCTAATCGGTATTTCTAACCACCGCCATGAACCACCTTTAACACCAATGTCGGCCACCATTCACAAACCTACAGAATCGAACAAGAAACAGAGGGTGGTTCAAATCCAGAAGCTCAAAAAATCGAAGAACAAGACCAAAAAAAAGGTAAATTCGACTTAGCATAGTTTTTTTTTGTTATCGTTTTGGGTGTTGTGGGGTTTCGTTTATGGTGGGAAAGGGATGGAATTTTAGCACCGCCTCCGGTGATGTTGGGTCGTTATGCTTTGGTGAGAGAAAGAGGGTTACACGCGGAGAAGAGAGAAGGAATGAAGACTGTAAACCAAAACAAAAAGATGAAAATGAATTAAAATAATGTTGTATATTCCGCCCAATTCCATACACGCTAGCTCACACTAACTACCATACTCCCTCAATCTCATCCACATGATTCTGATCAGACGGCCATCTGGCCAAGTCTCATGTGATAACGCATGCACCCTCCCACACCCAATCAAACCGGCCTCCCAATTTGATTACTGGGTCGAGCCTATTAATTGCTACACTCCTTTTTTTCCTAATTTCTAAACTCTTGAACGAATTACACCCCCTGTCCAGAACTTATATTTGGGCCCAGCTTACCAATGTTATTATCACCCCCCTCTTTTACTTAATAACTAGAAACTGCACCCCCCTCTGATTAATCTATTTTATATATTTTGTTTATATTCTAATTTTTAATTCTATTTTCTTCTCTTATTA